TAGGTTAATTTGGTCGTAGTTGGTTTCCACCACAGTATTTACATGGATATAAGCCCCGCCCCCTCTCCAGCTTGTCCTATTTGAATGACAGGAGTAAACACAGCTGACAGCCGCGGTGAAACTCCAGCGTTTAGAGCAGGGGTTGGCAACCAGTGGCCCACGGGCCGCACGCGGCCCTTTAAGCCCTTCGCTCTGGCTCCCTTGAGCTTAGACAAAAATAAGAAGGAAATAAAATAAAAGTATTTGTAGGACTATTTATATTTTGTTGCATGGTTGAAAATGTTTCGTATCTTGTATTTTAAGGTGATACTGTGAGACATAAATAAAAAACAAAACGGTTTTAATTAGGTCAACTAAAATATGCGTCACATCCTGCTACGGTCCCGCGCAGGCGCCTTTTCCTGCGGGTGAATAACCTGACCCCCGGCTCGATGAGCGAACTATGGATAAATCAAAGAAAAGTACCGGAGGAACACAGGATTTAATTCTGTGTGGACAGAGTTATATGCTTTCACAGCAAACGATGCTGGTGTACCGGTATGTTTGATATGTATACTGTAGAGAAGTTGTCAAAGGTGCTGCAGCCTTTACGTATCGAGGAACAACAAGGGAGAGGAAGACAGCTGACAATCTTAAGTTATAATTCAATGGGGTATGTAATTTATTTCAGAAAACACGTTTTGTTATATTCCATGGAATGCTCTTAACGTCCCGNTAGTTTAGCCTGATCGATCCAATCTCCATTCACAAAAAGCGCAAAACGGTACTATGCTTTAATGCTTTGACAAGTGTGCAGACAAGACGGCATGCGAAAAACCGTTTTGCGCTTTTTGTGAATGGAGATTGGATCGATCAGGCTAAACTAACGTTGTAGCTGCTCCGTCCAAACTCACAACAACGTCCTAAAGACAGAATTAAAGCAGCGACTGTATTCGTCATGACACAGACAATCTGTGGTTTGTACATCATGAGGAGCTGTGAGGAGTTGATTAAAGAGACACACGCACGCACGCACGCACGCACACACACACTTTTGCATTTCAAAGTATTGCTTGTTCATACAGTTGGATGTTGGAGCTTCACTGTGCACTGCTGAATGATGTATGTGCAGAGTTTGACCCTTGAAGGCTGTTTCTTCTGCTCTGAAATGGAATATATTTGTTACATATTAATAGAATTTTTGATTTTTAGATTTCATTTCGGATTTGTGAATGGGAGAAGTAGTAGATGGAAAACATACCAAACACTAATTATTCAAAGTAAAGTATTTCATTTTATATACGGTAATACTAAGGAGGCATAGGCCTATATGATGATACGATTATTGATATTAAAAAAGTGATTTGTTTTTTGTCATTAGAAAGTGAAGTTATTTATTTGTAAGCTCCAAATCCTAATTTTTTCCTCAATGGCCTTTGTGCCCTGGCATGTGGCCTTTGCGCCCTGAAAAAATGTGTGACACCAAAGGCCAAATGGCCTTGCCCCTAAAATGACGAAAATCCAAGCCTGGTACCCACCCCTGCTCCTGGCTGGCCCGGCCCCTGAGGAGCTGGCTCAGTGTGGGGACGGTCTGGAGGTCACCAGGGTCATCTGAGGACGAGGGGAAGGCTGCAGCAAAGACAGCCGCCTGCAGGAGACACAAAGAGACACCAGATCAACTACAGTCTTCAGTTCATCATGAGAAGTTAATACTGGAGTCCATTAAATGTCTTTTCATGGCACTGTGAGAATATGAAACAACTCGTATGAAAGTGGTTTTCTTCCAACGCCCTCCTTCACTGCAGCTCTCGGCACAGCTCATTTTTCATCTGCATCTTTTCACTGCGTTTAAAGTCCACTGGGACTCCTCCTGCAGTGCCGGCTTCTTTTTTTACATTTTTAAAGGAAGAAAGCACTGAGAGCTCAGACTGGTCTAACGTGAGTTACAAAAGCAGTACACAGATTTAAATGACGCACCAAATCAGTATAAAATTAAATAATTCATGACCAGTTTATTTCAGACACAGCCTTTGGGGTACAACTGCCCTGATAAACGTGGCCTGGATTTATAAACAGAAACATATTCAACACACTGTGTGTTTGTTGTTGCTATTGATTCACTTTGAGAGACTCTGGATCTTATAGGCCAGCAGCAAGCCTGAACCAACCTTTATATTTACAGTCTAGAGTACCAACACATTTAGCCTGCAGCTGGAAGACAAGTGAGCTCAAATCAACGGGTCAACGTTTTTAAAGTGACCTCAGCAACACCTCAAATACTGGACCTCTTTCATTCAAATCCTCTTGCAGCACCATGATCACAAGTGTTTGACCCCTTAGACTTTGCGTCATTGGTACCGAACATGAAAAGAAAAGGGCGGAAAATAAAGTTCCAAAAAATAAAGAGGCACATTTTCACTCTTATTGGGTTCTCTTGACTTCTCAGCTCAAGTTACTGAATACAAATGTGCTCTACAAGTTTTTTTTTTTTAGTTAGGCTAGATTCAAATGTGATGATATTATTCCAGTTTAATAAACTTGACCTCACTGTAGCTGCTGCGACCTCATACTGAGGGCAATGAGATCATGTATGGTGCTATATAAATAAATAAATAAATAAATGTACCTATGGCTTTCCTGGGTTTATTGACAATAAGGGGGTTTCTTGACAGTTTCCAGAACAGAAGTTCTCAACATTACTGAAATAAGCTCTTTCTTGAAACATTTTAAAGTTACTATGTGTGAGACATACCTGTTTTAATAAAGTAATATTAAAGCACTAGTGGATTTACAGTTACTAAGTTACAGCACTCTTGATATTCTGTCTGACTCTTAATAAGACTAATTGCAAAGTATTTGGTCTGTCTCGTACTTTACAAAAAATACATTCCAGGCTGAGGTTGGAAGAGGCTTTTCATGAACTCAAGGGCAGCCTGGCCAAATCTTTTCTCTAATGTGCAGCCCAAACACATCTTTTAAACAAAGGTTTGACCAGGCTTAAAGTATCTAAAATGAGGTATTGATGATGTTGATGGTGAGCTTTGACTACAACTTATCCCCAGAGTTTACCTGCAGATAATATTAGATTCAAACACTGATTTTGCATCATCATTCAACAGAAACGCACCAAAAAGATACACATTCCGACTTTGATAGATAACTTACTAGCTTATTATTATTGAGCTATCTACGAAGCGAGTTGAAGGCAGTGATCTCAAACCGTCTTTGTTGTAGGATTTTTCAAATTATTTTGCAATTGTAAGCAATGAATAGCTGGTTTACATGTAGATAAAGCCGGTTGAGCTTAAGTTGATCCGCCATTAAGGTTAGGTTTGAGAATCCCAAATACACAAAGCCCTAATAGAAGAGTCGAATGGGTTACAAATTTGTATTTTACAAGTAGAGCAAAGGAAGCAAAAAGCCTTTTGAGGCTGTCCCAACTTCCATTTCACCTGAATCATCCTCGACTGGGTCTGAAGATTACAAGTCTGAAAATGACACAAATCTAGAGTAAAAAGAATCAGAAAAAAAGTGTCTCTACCAGACTACTGTGGCCCACGCTAAATCTAACACACGAATCTCCAATTTTCAGTCGAGTTGCATTTGTATGTAAATAAACATATAAAAAGAACAATGCATGGAATAAAAAAGAAGATATCGCTGGGTCTGCTGACTCAACTTCACAGGGCGCTGCAATACAATATTATGCTGAGGATTAAATGAACTGATCACGGAGAGTTTTTCAGTGAATTCTCAGAGAAATGGAGGCAATCTCAACAGAAACATTTGAGGCATAATTACCACATTATGGTTTCATGGAAGTAATCTTTAAAAAGCTGAGAAGACTTGACATCTTTACCAGATTCTGATTAGCTGGTTCTCTTCTCTCCTCCACAGCACTGGTCAGCCACCACTGTCCCACCATGTCTCCACCTTCATCTGACCAGTCCAGAGGGAAGGCTGTCCACCTGTCATCTGATTGGTGGATTAGGCTATCAGTCCAGCCTGTTGTCCAGTGGGTCGGCTCCCCAGCGAGGACACTTCCATGTGCTACACACACACACACACACACACACACACACACACACACACACACACACACACAGATTTTAGATATCATAATTAATGCTGTCTTTTCCTAGTTTTAGTTATGTATCTTTTTTTTACCTATACCCACTATGTCTTTATATTTACATTAGATTTGTTTATTTATCAAGAATGGTGTGAATATTTTTTTGTTAATGCACAAATACCCAACAATAATTGCATTGTTCAAGATTTTTATAAAAAATATTGTGATATTAAAGTATTTCCTATATCTAACTAAACCTTTATCCATTGTAGATGTTAGCTGTGTTATAGCTAAAAAAAACTGAGGGCTAAGACTGGGCTACAGTTTTCATGCTTCTACCGGTACTAGCATTACTTTAAAACTGAAACAACATACATTGTTTAACATTTTAGCATATTTATTATTACATTTTCACAATCCTAGGAAGCAGCTTGTAGTGTGAACGTTTGCACCAGAACTACAGAGTCAACACACAGGAACACACATTTGAAGTTGGTGTTGGCTTTGTTTTGCGAAATCCTAGAGATTTGGTATCTGAAGAGTAAATATAGGATCGTAGCCTTAACAATTACATTAATCAACTCGTTGCAAGGAAACACATCATTTTTGTGTGACATAGTTGCTGTAAATGATACTGTTTGCCATGCTAAAACATCCCTACCTCCCATTGCTCCAACTTATCATGATGTGTCTATCAGACACTTCAGTCGTCTTTGTGTGAGTTTCTCTTTCACCCGCTGCTCCATAACCTCAGGCTAACTTGAGACCCAGGCCCTGTTTGCAGCCCCCCCTCCCTTACCCTAACTCTGAATGATTAATACCATATAGCAAGAACAAGAGATCTGTTAGGAATTCAGGTCAGGACAGAACAGAGTCTCAGTTTCCCTGCAGAGCTAAGTAGTGTTATTAGTCAACTCATTTTTGTTTTGTTATTTTTTAGTTCCACAATCAATTCCTTCTGAACAATACCTGTAGTTTAAAAGTTTGTAGTCTAATGTTTACTGCAAATTACATTTATTTTTGTTATCTTTGAAAACTACACTCTTGTGTTTTGTGTAGATCTTTTAATGATTTTTATGCAGATTGAAGGCAACCATTTAATTCTATTCATTTCAGTAGTATATGAAAATATTTGAACATACTTCTTTGTGCTTGATTAAGCCTCTATCCAGTGACAGCAAGCATTAAGTCTGCATGTAGTAGCATTGGTTTAGGTCAGGGGTGTCAAACTCAATTTCATCGCGGGCCACATTCGCATAAAGGTTGCACTCAAAGGGCCGGTTGTAACTATATAACTATATAATATATATATAAAATAATGTATTATATTACATTATTGCCTCTGAATTGGATTATTATCGGATAGGATAATAACTTAGTAATTAACTACGTCTGAAAGCAGAAGTCCAGGGCAAATAAGTCTCTTCAGTGCGCATGTCACAAAACCAGGCTGCCATGGAGTATTTCAAAAGATTCTCACCTTTACTGGATAGCTAGTTAATTCAAAGGCTTGTTTTACATCAATTAAATTAAGTTATGCTTCAACGTCGCACAATGGAGATCAATTACATTTTATTTAGCCGTGTGTGTGTGTGCTGAAAAATGATACAACATTTTAATTGGAACTAACTTTCAAACAAAGAAATAGTCTCAAGGAAATCTGGATAATTCACAAAACAAAACGTCATGTCATTTTGGTGAAGGAACCTTTAAAAGTACATTTGCAAAAACACTAGAATGGTCCTTCAGCTCACAATAATTCACACAAAGGGATTTATGTCAAAAGAGAAATTAACTTCTGCTGATAAATCTTTAGCATAACTTTTAAGGTGGATGTTTACAGGTGGATAAACTGAGAAGAAATAAATAGTAAATAAGGTGAAACCCCGGATTAGCCTCATTTGGCTGCACAGTGGAAACTTGGTTTAGGTGATTAGCTAAAGGGAGCATAATGAGGGAACATGAAACCCAATTAACAAGGACAAACAGGAAAGCACAAAATATATCACACACTCAGGTGCATGTCATAACTGCGTTGGCTATATACAGTAAGAGATGATTATTATTGAAATACTATTATTTAGGCATTCAGGTGACATGTCTTGCTCAGAGCGCTGATGACATATTTTTGTACTAATCAGGCAGCCATTTGTTGTGGCAGAGTATTCCCGTATAAAGCTTCAACTTCTTTTTGTGTCATGATTTAAATAAGAAAGCTAGGTGCTAAAATTGCTGATCAATGTGAAAAAGGAATGAGATATACTTCTGCAAACACATGCCTCAACATGGGTTGAGAAAAGCTCTTCCAGGTGTGCAGAATTATCTTTCACTGTTAGATCATAATCGCATGTAAAGGAATTTAGGTACATATTGATCTTATTGATAATTAATGCTATGGCTGAACAGGAAAAAAGGTGCTACAAATGAATGACTGTAATATGGAGTAATTTTTAATATATTGACTTTTGTGCCTTTTTATTTATGCCTCTTAATGTTTTTTATATATTTGTATTCCTCGGGAAGGTGACAAACAGCATTTCTGTATCACACACACACAAGATGGACAATAAAGTTGACTCTGACTTGTGATTTGGTGTGGCCCTTTAAATCAGACTGCATGTGCATTCCTGAGACTGTACAAAAGGTTACGTTTGCACTAATACCCTGAGCGAGTGTGAAAGGTCTCTAATGTTGTTCATTTCTGACAACTTTAAAAGACTCCGCTTCTGAGGCTTTTTAATGTCAGCTTTGTTAACCAAAGGATCCTCTGTCCCATGTCCATTCCAAGCAAAATGGCAAAATCACGTAAACTCTGAAAGATACCAGAGAGATACTAAAAGAGAAAGACAGAGAGGGAGGCTAACCAGAATACACAGAAAGAGACAGAACTACAAACGGTGAGACTCACCAACACGTTCTCTGCTCCCACAAGGCACTGGGGCAGTGGTGGATCCCTCACTCCAGGCCGGCTCTCCCTCCGCCTGCATGAATACTCCAAACTCATCTTCTTCCTCCTTCCCCTCCTCATCTCTCCCCCACTCCTCAGTGGCCACGGTGGAGACCCTCTCTGCCTCACCCTGCTCCTCCAATAGTCTCCTGAGCCTCTTCTTCCCTTCCTGGCCTCCTTTTTCATCTCCTTCCAGCACTCTGACCCTTTCCTTCTCCACATTCTCGTCCAAACAGTGCAGTCTGGTTTCCATGGAACTCAGGGGCTGAACAGTGGGGGCAGGATTAGCCAGGGAGAGTGCAAGAGAGGTGAGGGGATCAGCACAGGCAACAGTACTGCCGGTCTCTCCAGTTGCTTCAACATGGGTTGATTGTCCACAGGTGTCTACAACCTCTGTCCCCCTTCCCCTGCATCCGTCTGCAGACTCCTCTACCCTCCAAAAGTCCATTCGTGCACAATTTTCAGTTTGCTTTTTGTCATTATCCTCCTCTATGGAACTTTCATTTGTGGGACCCTCTGTATTTCGTTCTTTGTCACCTTTGCCCTCGGCATTGTCCAGCTCAAAGCAGGTGCATTCCCTCCTCAAAATCTCTCCAGATGTGTCCTCTCTCTCCTCTGTATCCCCTTCATGTAACTCTGCTTCTCTATTACCCAACACCAGCTCATCCCTGGGCCCTGCTCTGTTAAGCTCAGTTGTACTACAGTTGCAATCGTTCCCTGTTACGTTCCTCCCGTCTGTCTCAGAAATGGAAGGATCTCTGTGTCCTGGAGGCTTAGACGAAGCTTCTCTCTCCTGTAGCACGCTGCCATTTCCTGCATTTTGAAAGGAAAACAGGGGTTTCCTGTTTGTGTTCACAGTGTTACTCTCGGCAGCCGCACAATTGGGTTCTGGTTGCACAAGTCTGATTAGATCCAGTTCTCCTTTAGCAATGATTCCTGGGTCTGCCACCCCTTGTTGATACCCCTCAAGGGGATCTGTTCTGGTGTTCACTTGCTCTCTCTGAACACAAATCTCATGGTCAGTATTGAAGGTGCTGCCCTCTACAGGAGTGGACAGCTCAAGGGAGACTGCAGTGCTGATGGAGACAGAGACCTCCTCATAGCAGTCGGATAAAATCGGGAATTCTGCAGGAGTCCGATTGATGCTCCCTTTCTTCTCTTCAACATCCACACTCTCCCTTTCTGTGTCAGCTTTTTGATCTGCCCGAGACTGATCAGGAAATCCATTCATATTAGGTGCTACTTCTTCACAGGGGTTTTCACTTGGTTTTCTGTCATCAAGATCTCTGTTAAGTCCTAAGGTAACATTATCCTGTCCAGAGTGGCCATGAGGAAAATCATTGTTTCCAGTATCTAGTTTCATAACCTCAGAGTTGTTATCCTCCTCTCTTTCTGAATAGTCGTCCTTGCTTTGAGAGGTTTGTGTCTTCAGCTCCTCGTTGCTCTCTTTTCCAGTCTCTTCACCATCACAGCTGCTGTTGGATTCTGGATGAGAGTGGTTAGATTCTAGGTCAGGGTCTGGTACAGCCCAAACAGAACTGGATGACTCACAGAGACCTCCCTTCTCTTCCTCCTCCTCCTCATTCCTTTGCATGTCCTTCCTCATTCCTTTCCCCTCACCCTTTATCCTGTTTGAGGTGCCTCTTCGTGGACTTTCTCCTGCCTCGTGTCTATCCTTGCTTCCCCTCCTCTGTGCTCTCCTTACACACTGAGCACAGGTTCTGGGAGAAGCGTTGTGGCAGCATCTAGGACTTCTGCTTGCTGCGTCTCTCTCCTGCCTGGCTCTCCTGCTGTCCTGCTGCAGGCTGGGAAGCTGTTTACTGGCCAGGCGTCCTTTGTCTGGCTCTTCCTGTCTTTCTTCCAGAGAGATTTCTCCTGCAGGATCCTCCCTGCTGCTCTGCTGCCTCTCTCTGCTCACGCCTGTTTTCTCCAGAGCATTATTTGACTTCCTCCATCTCCGGCCAGATCGCACCCTAACCCGGTTTACTCCGGTATGTGCCGGCGGAGTTGGCCCATTGTCCTTCCTCCCGCCTGGGATGCCTCCTCCTCCTCCTCCTCCTCCCTCCCTCCCTCCCCTCCTCCTCTCTAACTCTCTTCCCTCTCAGCCGTCCTCCCAACCCACGCTGGAGGCTGCAGCTGGTAGTCCCCCCAGAACTGGGGTTTGGCTGTGGAGTACCAAACAGCTTCCTTCCAGTCCGGAGGAAAGGAGCATTGACGTCTTGCGTCTTCCGCTGCCTCGCAGGTTCTTCAGAGTGGCCACCTGTGAACTGAGAGGCTCACGAGCCCAGCCTGCCTGGCGTCCAAGCCCCAGACGGTAGCCGTACCCATGCCGACCCCTACTTCCCCATGCAGTACACATCGTTGCAGGCCTGGCGGCAGAAGTGGAACCCCCACGGCGCGGCGCCAGGAGGCCTAGGGGCCTGTCTCCTCCTCCCACCTTCTGGTCGGTTCTTTGGAGCACAGGAGCCCAGGCTCGGAGGCGCCGGCATCAGCGGCAGGTCTCCATGCCCAGCTCCANGGGATTGGCAGACTCCACAGGAGAGCGAGAACATGTTGAAGTTTTCAAAAGTAAAAACTCAGCTCTGTCTGACCTGCTGGGGTTTTCTGCTCAGGGTGCTCTGGTCAGATCCCGGTTTCAGAATATCGTGAAAATGGATGCTCCCTCTCACTTTTTCTTTGGTCTAGAGCAGGGGTAGCCAACGCGGTGCCCGCGGGCACTAAGTCGCCCGCAGGGGGGAAATTGGTCGCCCGCGTGCATGTTCTAAAAATAGCACAAGTCACCATGGAGCTCCGTCTAAAAAAATTATTGAATACATTTTTAATTTTTTTAATGACAATATTGAATATAACATTTTAAAAGCGCACATTTTGTATGTACATATGTAAGTGAAATGGAGATTTGGTGCGTGAAATTGAACTCTGACCCCAGATAGGTTCAGAGTTGAACTCCACGCACCAAATCTCCGTTCCACCTTTAGCTGAGACAAGCTAGCATGAGCAGCTACGATCATGGGCCTCATCACCACACCGCAAACACACACACACACACACACACACACAGCAGTGGTGAGGATCTCAGCCTGCCACTGACGTTCAACCAGAAAACATCAGCTGTTAGCAGTTAGCAAACAGAGATCACAGCTCCTCATATCTTTTCAGAAACTGGACAAAAGTTAAACAAGTACAAACCACAGACTGTCTGTGTCATGGCGAATACAGTCGCTGGTTTATTTATGTCTGTAGGCCGTTGTTATGAGTGTGGAATGAGCATAACGTTAGCTTAGCCTGGTCGACCCAATCTCCATTCAGAAAACAAGCATTTTAAAAGGTTTTTTGCCTGCCGTCTTGTCTGCAGACTTGTCAAGCATTAATTCATGGTTTTTACTAAACGGTATAAGTATGTTGTTACTTCGGCATCATTTAGAAACGTGTATTACAATTTAATCACGGTAAAATATGTTCATTTTGTTGTAGTTGTAGCTCCCGAGCCAGCGCGTCTTGTTTGAATGATGCGAGTAAACACAGCTGGCAGCAGCGGTGAAACTTGAGCGATTAGAGCGAAGTCGCGTCCGGTGTGAACGCAGCATTACAACGACCCCTGATAGATCTCGCGAGAATGTGTATAAATATAGATACATTTTCATAACAAAACAATGGGGTTGCTATAGCAATGGTAAATCATTGTTAATAATTATTGTGAGGAATAATTAACATTAACATGTGATCAGACAGTCCTTCACATACAGTAAATTAATATGTATTCTGATTATTATTAATAATAATATTATCATTAAAGGTGAACCGTGCAATTATGTTATTCAGGAAGTTTGTATCAAACAAGTAGCCCTTCGTATTACTCAGTACCCTTGAAGTAGCCCTCGGTGACAAAAAGGTTGGTGACCCCTGATTTAGACGCTTCTTGTTAGACTTGTGTTTTGTTATGGTAAAAATTGTTCATATCATCAGTTAGCTGAGTTTCTTCCCGTTAAATGAGTATGACACATTAATAGTTTATTACATTTTAAGAAGCCCTGAGACACAGTGTCGCGAAAAAAAAAGCCCCGCCGACGGGGTCTTTGGGGCTTAACAGGATAAGGCACTAACTTTAGGAGTTTGCTAATGTTAGCTAGCTATGCTGATGTCGCAAACTAAAGTGTCCAAAAGCGCAACGGGAAAAATATAAATGTAATGTTCTAACTGGTCTTCTTACGCCATTAGCATGGCTACCAAACTTTATCAAAAGCATTAGTTTAATACAAGTTATTTTCTACTGAGCTTAACCTACATTTATAAGTTACAGTTATTATATTACCATATTGTTTACATTGGTGTTTTGATGCATTCGGTGGAGGTTTGAGTGGCTTGATATTCAAACCATAGATGCGTGCTATCTGATGATGAACATCTCAGGCCCGAAAGAAAGAGAGGGAGAAGGTGGAGGCTTAACTTCTTCAGCCAGACCCTTTTCCAAAGATTTGCAAGAGATGTTCAACTCTTCATAAATAATACCTAAGGATGTTTTCTTAGCCATGAATATTTAAAGTTACATTTCGGATCCTAGCTGCACTATGTTGCCGTGTTCCTACAAGTGTGTCCCTGCTGTGTTTGTTCTGATGCATGCGCACAATACAGGGGATGTGAGACATATCTCTGCCAGTGGTTTCTATCTACAGATGTACAGGTGTCTGTAACTTGCCAAGAAATGCAGGAGTGTAACAAGAAATGCAGGGAAGAAGACAACTATGAAGTAAACTTGCACATAAAGAATGCAGTTTTAAAAGAAAAAACATAAAGATAATGTATAAAAATGTAAAGCAGGTTTCCGGGGCTTTGATTGTTTTCAACAGGAATTTAAGGAATATAAGGAATTTGTTCTCATTTCAATGTACTGTATTTCTATGCAATGCATTGGTTCAGCAGGACATTGTTTACAGTAATTTATTTTCGCCAAAATGGATTAATATCACAGGTAGCAGTCATTGACACATTTCACTCTGGTTTGAATTGAATCTGCTCACAATACAACCCTGTGCCACTCTTGTATTTACATAATATTATGTGTGTCACACATGTATACATGCATGCTGATGATTTGCACAGCACTGTTCATACTTTAGTTCCACACTGGAGCTCTATTTCTCTGCCTCTCCTCCTCCTCCTCCTCCTCCTCCTCCTCCTCCTCCTCCTCCTCTCTTCCCTCTCAGCCATCCTCCAACCACGCTGGAGGCTGCACTGGTAGTCCCCCCAGAACTGGGTTTGGCTGTGGAGTACAAACAGCTTCCTTTCTCAGTCCGGAGAAAGAGGCATTGAGTCTGCGTCTTCCCGCTGCCCTCTGAGGTCTTCAGAGTGGCCACTGTAACTAAGGCTCCAAGCCCAGCCTGCCTGGCGTCCAGCCCCAGAGGTAGCCCGTACCCCATGCGACTCCACTCCCCACTCAGGTACACATCTGCAGGCCTGGGGCAGGAAGTGGAACCCCCACGGCCCGCAGGAGGAGCTATGGGGGCCTGTCCTCCTCCTCCCACCTTCTGGCGGTTCTTGGAGCACAGGGCCCAGGCTCGGAGGCCCCGGATCAGCGGCAGGTCTCCCAGGCCCAGCTCCAGTCGGCTGGGGAAGGGCAGAGAGGCTCTGGAGCACTTCTGGAGCATGTCTCTGGTGGAGCCCGACACGTTCAGGCAGGGGTAGTTGTTGTTGTTATTCTGCTGGAGCATGGTGCTTGTTGTTGGCCTCATCTATGTTTTATTGGTTTGTCCTCGCTGATGCTTTATTAAAATGCAGATCAGATCAGGTCAAGTTGAAATCCTATTCATGAGAGGAAGTGCTGGCACTATCAAGAGTCTATTCTTGATTCAGAGCATGACAGCTCAAAAGGTAAACATATCATAGTTGGAAGAAGAATACAGTAAGCATTATGGAATACTGTATGATTTAATTCTGACAAATCTACTCGACACTGAAATAATCTCTTGCTAAAATCTTAGTTCATTCTGACAAAATAGAGAAATAGAATGAGCTGTTTCTCTGACAGCCAGCTGGAGTTGTGCTTGTTTCTCTTTATCCCTCCTCAACTTTGAGAGTCCTGAAGAAAAGAAACCCCCAGGTCAGACATCCATTTGTCGGCGCTGATGATGGAGTGGATAATGAGAAGTTTGTTTTGCTCCACATTGACGCTCAGTGATGCTGTCTTCAGAGCTTCAATGCCCTCCCTGTCGGCCGCTCTCTCATCACTGAGGACTGACTCAGCTGTCACAAACAACCTGCGGGAAGTGGGACAAAACAAGACATTTAAGACCCATAAGTGAAAGAATGTGATATGTGCTTATGAACACAGAAACACTCATATGTTAAATTGTTTGCTTTAGCTGAAATAATACCAGGAGGAGACACAATTTAATACATTACTTATCTCATTAATAAGAAAGAATGTAAAGCAGATTCTGTGCAGATGTTATTAAAAATCTAAATGAAAACATACTTAATAAATCCAACACAGAGATGTGATTTGGCTGAGTGGATTACAGCTGTCATGTCTGTGGGGGTGTGAGTTTGTCAAAGGTCATGCATTTAAATCTAAGTGGCTTCTTTTTTTCGAACTACTCTGACACAACAGAGCCCTATTCTTATATGAAATTGGAATTCACACCATGTCCATCAGCGTGCCAATTAGATGAGTAGTTCCATCAGCCTTACAGAACCATTAAAAGGGACACAAAATGAATCACAGGTGGCCATCAATCCATAAATCCACCCCTCGTGCCTACATAGTTAAAATGATTTGCCCACAGGGACTCAAGTAGAAATAGGTTTGGGCCATGCATATCACATTAGCCTTCACATATGAGCAGGATGTGTAGCACTGTGATAAAGATGAGCCACATGTAACCACACACTGTACCTGGAGAATCTGTATCCCCATCCAACATGTCCTGAAAGGGATGCCTGAGGAATGCTCTGATTGATTCTCACCTTATTCGATGCCTTCGTGTCTTTAAATGAAGTATCCTTCACTTAATGTCTCTCTGCTTCCTCCTTGTTTACAGACGAAGCCTATTCTTCCCTCCTCGGGCTGTGGAGCATCCTTCAGCGGCATCACATCCTTCCCCTCGGCCTGCACCACTGGAGCTGCAGCTCTACAGATCAGTCACACACGCATCGCTGTAGCCCTCTCGTGTAGATCAGAGGCAGACCCCGCAGTTAGTGAATGCTTCTTCGGTCTCCCCCCCCACTCGTTCGGCCATTGCGCATCATGTCATCCAGCGCTCGGCATCGTGCGTCGCCGCATCTTACCGCAGTACCTCCGGTGCTCGGCGGCAGGATGACGGAGAGCTCATTCGACTTGCAGCCCACTCACCCATAGGGGGGGTGCACAGTGCCACACAGAGGCAAGGGGGGGACGAGTGAGGCGGAAGTGTATGCGAGGTTGTTGATGCCATTTTTTAAAGAAATTGTTAGTCGCACTAAAAACAGAATAAATAAATAAAGAATGAAAATAATAAAAGGTCATGTTTTTTTTATCCATATTAAAATAGTCATTTGTTTTTCTCTCAAGTGTTGCTTTCTAAGGTTTCACATTTGCATACATATGCTACTATGTGCCTGTGTATTCTTGTGAGTGGTGGAAAAAGTATTTAGATTATTTACACGAGTATAAATACACAACTAATTCTTAACTATTCTAAATATTTTGAAGCAGAAGGAGCAAAAACATCACACAAATCTGGAACTGTCAAATATTTTTTTAACAATTCACTTAGCTGCTAATACATTTTCATGTATGTTAACTCACACATGGTTAGTGTCTTAAATATAATGTTAGATGGTTTCAATCTATACCAAATAATCAAATGTAAAAGTTTTCCCCTAAGTATTGTGTGTCAAAACCTGAGTTTGTAAAGTTACTAATAGATAAATCTGTAAAATAAATGTATTGGAGTAAAAAGTACACAATTTGCTTCTGCTTTTCCAAATGTAATAGAGTATAAATGTACAGTACAGCATAAAGTACTTAGTATTTCCACCACTGATTCTTGTGTTGCACAAAACTGTTTCATTTCTAGCTGAGTATATTACAACTTGTCACAACATGAAACATGTGTTATAAATGGGTTTGAACTCTTTCAATTATGCAGCCAATATATTGATATACATATTTCATCCATGTGCAAGTTTTAATTATTGTCAGATCCTTTTTCCTCATTGTTGCTTAATATTGTGACTTGCCTGTGCTGCTGAGAATGCTTCCCTGAATAATACATTCATTTCATATTTTAAGGTTGGGGAACTTTGTCTCCCTCCTCTGGCAGTGAGAATAACAGCAACACGCAGCAGCTAAGTGTGTGGCTGAGAGGGGGGGTTCTGGACTGAATGCTCCAGATAAGAATACAACCCAGCTAAAAAGAACGAATCATTTGGGGAGAAAAAATGTTTAGGAAGACTTGAGATGGAGATTTCATGGGGGGGAAACTTTGTGTAAACTCATTTCACAAAGGCTTGAATGTAACCAGAGGTTGTAGTAATCAGATAATTTACTTAAGAAATAGTAGAACTACCAGAGTGGGGGAATACTGTGCTACAAATAAAAGTCCTGCATTCAAAATGTTACTCAATTAAAAGTACAGACTGATTAGCAATAAAATACTAAATATCCAAAAGTAAAAGTATCCATTAGTAGTCATTGTGCAGATTGACCTATTCAAGAATAATATATATGATATGATTTGATTATAATGATTGATCATTAAAGTATTCTCAAAGCTGGTAAAGGTGCAGCTAGTTTGAATGACTTTGTATACTGCAGGGTAGCTCCAGGTGGAACTAAAGTCTGATTTAACACTTGGTTATATTTCACATCATTCATCCAAATATGTAAAGTAACTAAAGGTATTAATAGTCGTAGTAGAAAAGAAGTACACTATTTCCTGAAATGTAGTGGAGTAGAAGTGCAAATTGCAAAACATTGAAATGCTCAAGTAAAGTACAACCCTCTCAAAATGTTTCTTAGCACAGTACTTGAGTAAATCTACATAACTACTTTACACCACTGCATGTTACATATGTTAAAGTACCACATTTCAGCTTTAAAGGGCATTGATGAGGTCATAGACCTACGGAAATGATCGAATAGGCAGTCCTGTTTAATTGAACAGCGTATGAGTTGATAAGTGTAACAGAATGCTCCATTGCTCTCTAAAAGGAAAGTCTGCTACAGTAAGAGTGTATCTGGTGACGTACTGTAGCAGCCTATGCATACCCTCTCTCTGTGGCATTATTCACTCCTCATACACATTAAACTGCCCTCACATACACGTCGCACAGCATCATCACAGCAAAGGATTGGAGAACACACACACACACACACACACGCACACACACGCACACACACGCACACACACACAATGGGAAGACGTCATGCACCGGTGTCCATAGTTTATCACTGTCTCTTCCTCTTCAGGAATTTTTCTAAAAAGGCTAATCCATGTGCTTTTGGGTCTCTGGTTAGGAAATGATTTTTCTCCCTCTTTTCCTTGAGGTGAGAATATGTGTTTCAGTGTTTTGTTAATGTATTCTGCTTCTGTATTTGATGCCTACAGTACAATTTATGGTCCTGCAGTCTTTCCAGTTCATGTTAACAAGTAAGAGTTATTGGTCCTCATGTATACATCCAACATGTAATCCATTAATAGAGATGTGTAAACTGCAGTAAACTTAAAAATAACCATAGCTGTAGGGGGCGTGCACTTCTGTTATTTAATATCATCACCTGGGGGCACCAACATTATACATTTTAAAATGCTACTCATTTACTTTTTTTATTATTAGCAACATAATGTTGGATTTGCATGTTAGACATGAGGTTGTTATTGTTGTTGTTGTCGTCTCGCTAAATAAAGACGGCAAGTCAGCTTTTTATCTAACTTATAATGTATCCGGTGTGAAAGTCAAAACATCAGGAAACTGTCCTTTAAAATTATATAATTTTATTGATTATTATTTATTGACATCTTAAACATTCTCTCCAATGCAGCTTTGACAAAAACACTTGGCACTGAAACCCTTTATAATCCAAAAGAAACTTGAAGACTTGATTAAATCAGAAAGGTAAAAATCCTAATACAACCTTGTTGCTATTTCTCTTCGGCTTTTTAAATGTCTATTTTCTCTTTACCACTCGAGAAACAGGCCCAGTCTTAAAATATGTTAATGAAAGACTGTCCACCTTAAAAGTAGCTCTGTTTTGTGTACCCTGTGAAACTGACAATGGCTATGAGATGTGAATACAATCGGTAGCTTTCAAAAGTTCTACTTTGATGCCAGTATCATTAAAGAAGCTGTTTTTGTGTAGGTACTATATTGCATTTGGGAATTAACTTTACATGTCTAAATGTGTAGTCAACAAACATGTTTTTTAAAGATGGCAAAAGGCTTAAACCTCAACCTTTATTTTGATCAATAATTGAAATGTCATTGTAGCAGCCTGAAAGTAACATCATTTTTTGAGGACCTTTTTTTAAGTTTCAAGAGAAAAAGTTTTACAGTTTAAAATGTAGACTCTCAGTGATTTTGTTAAAGCACCCAACAGCACCCTAATCCCCAAATGTCCTCTGAGCCTGCTATTGATGTTCTGAAACACAACATAGTTCACAGATGAGTTGCAAAACATCAGCATCAGTCAGGATGTGTATCTTGAAGCCAAGAGTCAACACACAAAATATACAGCAGTGTGTTTTTTGGCAGTCTACAGTAAAAACATGAATATAAAATTGATTAGCAGCAGGGTGGCCTACAGTAAATGTATGAACCTTAAACCAGAAGTCACAGGTCTGATCCCCACAGCAAGAAAAGAGTCCAGAGTGTCCTGCTCAAGCACCGTGACTGTCTCTGGGTAACAGCATCAGCTAAATGCGTCAAATATAAAACTATGGCAGCAAATGAGATTAGCCTATAATCTCAAAAAGCTCACACTTTTCCTTCAAGACAAAAAACAGGTTATTATTAGGTCACACAATATAACTTCTTCTCCTGACCGGTGAATATGAAAATAATTACATTTCTAATCGAGGGAATACTGCTTCATAAAAGCAATGATATGGTTGTATTTACATGAATATTACTCTGGCCTGTACTGTTGCAGTTCAAATAATTGTCAAATCCATGATACTGATGAGAGTAAATGACTCATTCCAGCGCATTGTGAACAAACAACAATAAATAATCAAGCAGTGTGACATGTTTACATTCAGAGTGAAAACTTTAAAACCAAACAAAATCTGATAAATAATACAAACTAAACTAACAAAACTCGAACAACAGTTACAAAAATTACATTTAAAATGAGAAGAAAGGAAGCACATATTACTCTGTTCGTTTTATAATGACAATGATGCCGATTGATGAAATGCAACTGTTTTTTCATCACATTCATATCTCACCCATTAAAATAAAAAAGAAAGACCTTTACCTAATCGAGGTTTGCCACGTCGCAGGCTTAGCCTAGGCTACAAGAACACTGCAACCTCACCAAGAAACCCAACAAGATTTAAAGACATTTAAGATATGATTACAGCATCCTCAGTATTTAAAGTCCGACACCTTGTGAGTTGTTGTCGTGGTGGCTGAAGATTCACCTGTTCGTGTCTCAGAGGAAACCATGTGACGGGTGACTCTGGTGGTCTTGGTCACCATTGTGACAGTTCCCTCCTCAGCGGAGGAGGCTTGGTGCTCCTCAGATATTTCCTGCGTGCTAAAGTCGAGCCCTGAGGTGTGAAGGCAGAAAGACCCTGAGACATCAGCCTCACCTGCCACCTCCCCCTTCCGCTGGGCCTGAGGAGAACCCTCGGGGGTTATCTGGAGGAAGCCTGGAGGGGAGGAGACAAGCAGGTGGGTAGAAGAAAGGAAGCAAGGATAGGAAAGGATGAGAGGTTAGGAAATCATGACAGAAAATAAACTTAGTTTTATGTAGCAGAGAAGTAGCAGGGGATATACATATTATATATTATATATAAAGAATATATTATTAATTTATATGATAAACACAAAAACACAACACATAAAAAATAGCAAGGTTAAATTACTGATGATGTATAATGTAGTGCCAATTGTAACAACATATGACAAAATAGTGAAATAAGGAAAGAAACAGGTATTAAGTAATTTACTTATTTGATTTGTGAATTACTATTATTTTTGAAAGACTTGTGCAATTATTCAATGTCTCTGAAATAGGAGTGATGCAGTGGTTTTGTGTTGCATTTCAATGTTCAGAGAACTGGTGAAAGACTAAGAAACAAACGTCCAAAAAGTAAATACTGCACGAGTTATACTGAAAGTCAGTCACATGATAAGACACCTACAGTAGGACTTGGATATCGTCAACCCTTTGCAAAAGTCTATGTGTCATTTTTCAAATGTCTTGTGATCACCGTTTGAAGTTTTGGTATCCTTACCTGTGGAGTGTGGCTTCAGGTTGAAATTAGGGACCTTGAACCAGGTGGAAGACTCCCTTTCTTCGGGTTCCTTGCTTTGGCTCTCGACCTCGCTCCATGTCTGGACTTTTGCAGAGCTAAACTCCATGGTGAAACTAGCAGGGGACTCTGAGCTGTCCCTGTCCAGCATGTCTGTTCTGGCATGAGATGACACCACATCCTTTGGGAGCTCCTCACTAAAATCAGAGAAGGCCATGTTGCCTGATTTTACTTTAAGTTCTTTAGTGTATTCCTCCATGTGTACTGTTGGTAAATCCTTTCCCAGTTTCATATTCATACCAGAGTCCTCCCCCTCTACAGACATCATGCCATATGGAGATGTTAACTGTACCTTTGGAAGATTGATTTTGCCGCTGAATGTCCCTTTATCATCCTTGGAGCCTATGTGAGGATCTTTTGCACCATTGAAATTGGATCTTGAACCGTCACCCTTAAGATTGACATCAAAGGACCCTGATTTGCTCGGAGAAAATGACACAGCAGCTGATTTTTCTTTAGACTTCCCAAAGTTTGGCTTCATTATGATTTTTGGCAACTTCACGTTAAATCCTTCTGTTTCAGCCTGAGCTGTCGTCTCCTCTTTTGGGAGGTGTGAGCATGCAGTGGGCTCACCTGTTTGAGGAGGATTTACCAATAAAAATACAGCTTTCTTTACTTTAGGCATTTTAGGACCCTCATACTGAATTTCTGGCCCAGTGATATTCATTCTTCCCTTAGGAGAGGAGATGGAGGGTAATGGGACCCCAAACTTCGGGATTTTGACTTTCTTGTCTTTTTCTGTTCCGTCCTCATCTTCATCCTGTGTTGTACCTATGTCAAAATCTATGTCTGGAATCCTGGGCACTCTAATTTCTGCTCTGGATGATGAGAAGCCACCCTCTCCCGCTGTTCCAAAGTCAGCCGAGCCTTGTTTGTTTGTCAGACAAACACTTGGTAACCTACACTCTGGTACTGGGATGTTAACACGACCTTTGTTATTTTTATGTCCATTATCTGTTTCAATTTCAACTTCGTACTTAAATGTTTCTTTTCTCTTACATTTGTGTTTGATATGACCACCTAAATCTTCATCACCGCAGTTTTTGCATATTTTTGCTTCTGCTTTTACATCTCGACCAGTCTTCTTTTTTGGCATCCCAATGTGGAATTTTGTTCCTTTGACTTTAGGGCCCTTTACTTTGCTGCTGGTTCCTGCTGTGCTGATATCTAAATCAGGTAGTTCCATCTTTTTCCTGTCCTTCTTGCCCTCTGCTCTATAAAGTCCTAAATCCAGCTCTAGGTCGCCTTTTGGACATTTGATGTCTATTGTAGGTATCTTAAGTTTGAGGCCTTTGTGCTCCCCCTCAACATGCAAGTCAGCTTCCCCAAGAGCTTCTGTGCCTTGTTTAGGTCTACTCAGTGTTGCATCGATGTCCAACTCCGGTGATGACACTTTTGGCACGATTTCCCCTCCTAATTCAACAGCTGGTACATTGATCTCTGCTTCACAGGATGGATTCAATGTTTCAATATCTTTACTTTTACTTTTAGGAAGTAAAATATCAACTTTTGGCATCTTGATATGCGGCAGCTTGATGGTTCTTCCCTCAGCCTCCAGTTTTCCTTTAGGGATAGATAGGTCTACATCATGCATATTGACATTTCCTCCTTCACCTGCCTGTATTTCAACTTTAGGGCCTTCAATTTTTTTCTTTAGCAGAGAAATGTCAAAATCTGGCATTTTCCAGCTAGGCATTTTGATCTTTCCCTCTGCACCTCCCTCTATTTCGAAATTTGTACTTTCAATCTTTCCTTTGGGATGTGAAATACCAATAGAGGGCATGGTGAGATGTGGCATCTTGTATTTTCCACCATCACCTTTGATCTCCATCCCCGAAGCATCAATCTTTCCTTTAGGCAGAGAGATGTCAACATCTAGCATTTTCATCTGAGGCATTTTGAACTTTCCTCCTGTACCTCCATCCTTTTCAACATCTGGACCCTCAATCTTTCCTTTAGGCAGAGAGATGCCAATGTTGGGCATTTTCATGTGAGGCATTTTGAATGTTCCACCTGTACCTCCTTCCGTTCCAATATCTGGACCTTCAATCTTTCCTTTAGACCGAGAGATGTCAACATCTGGCATTTTCACATCAGGCATTTTGAACTTTCCTCCTTTACTTCCCTTCATTTCAATTTCTGCACCTTCTATATTTCCTTTGGGAAGTGAAATATCAACAGAAGGCAAGCTGACATGAGGCATCCTAAACTTTCCACCTTCACCTTTTATTTCCAGCACTGGACACTCAATTCTTCCTTTGGGCAAAGAGATGTGGAAGTTAGGCATTTTCATGTGAGGCATTTCCAATTTTCCACCAGTACCTTGATCCATTTCAACATCTGGACTGAATCTTCCACCTTTACTTCCCTCCATTTCAACGTCTGGACCTTCAATCTTTCCTTTAGGCAGAGAGATGTCAACATCTGGCATTTTCATGTGAGGCATTTTGAACTTTCCTCCTTTAGTTCCCTCCATTTCAACGCCTGGACCTTCGATATCCTCTTTGGGCAGAGAGATGTCAATGTTGGGCATTTTCAAGTGCGGAATTTTAAATTTGCCACCGGTGCCTCCTTCTATTTCAATATCCGGATCACCGATCTTTCCTTTAGGAAGTGAAACATCAACAGAGGGCATACTGAGATGTGGCATCTTGAATTTACCACCATCTCCCTTGATAGCCATCTCTGGACCCTCAATCCTTCCCTTGGGCAGAGAGATGTCAACATCTGGCATTTTCATCTGAGGCATTTTGAACTTTCCCCCTGTACCTCCATCCATTTCAACATCTGGACCCTCGATCTTTCCTTTGGGCAGGGAAATGTTGATGTTGGGCATTTTCACATCAGGCATTTTGAACTTTCCTCCTGTACCTCCATCCAGTTCAACATCTGGACCCTCAATCTTTCCTTTAGGCAGAGAGATGCCAATATTGGGCATTTTCATGTGAGGCATTTTGAATCTTCCACCTTTACTTCCCTCCATTTCAACGTCTGGACCTTCAATCCTTCCCTTGGGCAGAGAAATGTCAACATCTGGCATTTTCATGTGAGGCATTTTGAACTTTCCTCCTGTACCTCCCCCCATTTTAAAATCGGGACCTTCTATCTTTCCTTTGGGAAGTGAAATGTCAACTGAAGGCATGTTGAGATGAGGCATGTTAAACTTTCCATCCTCGCCTTCGATTTCCATCTCTGAACCCTCAATCCTTCCTTTGGGCAGGGAGATGTCGATGTTGGGCATTTGCATGTGAGGCATTTTGAGTGCTCCTCCAGAACCTCCCTCCATTTCAATGTCTGGACCATCAATCTTTCCCTTGGGCAGAGAGATGTCGATGTTGGGCATTCTCATGTGCGGCATTATGAATTTGCCTACGGCTCCTCCTTCCATTCCAAAATCTGGACCCTCAATATTTTCTTTAGGCAGAGAGATGTCAACATCTGGCATTTTTAGGTCCCCAGTTTTCCCTCTAGGAAGGAACAGATCAATGTCAGGCATCTTGATTCCAGGCCACTTGAATTTGCCTCCTTTTCCATCAGTCTTTGCATCATGCTCTACTCTAGGCAGGGACACATCCAGGTCTACTTTGGGGATGGAAATGTCAATTGTTGGCATTTTTGGAATGTTGAGGCTTACCTCATAACCTCTGATATCAGCCTCTGAGACATCCACCTCTGCTTTAGGTAACAAAACCTCAGTCTCTGGTGTATTAGCTGCTGGTAGTGACAACTCAACAGAGGGCATCTTAACCTTGGCTTTAGACTCAAAGTTAACACTTTGCTTAACTAAATCTTTCTCTTTAGAGCCAAATCCTGGCATTGAGAACTTTGGTAGTTTGAGGGTGATGTCAGGGGCATGGAAGCCACCTTTCCCTTCAACATCTGCCCCCAGCTCAGCATCAACCCCTCCCTCTGGGAGCTGACTTTTTGGTGATTTTTTAAACTTGGGGAATTTTCCCTTTTTAACTTTAACATCCACATCAGGACAATACACGGATATATCTGCATGCTTTTTGGATACACCAAATGAAGGCATTTTAATTTTAGGTTTTTTCACCTTGACTTTTCCGTCCCCATCAAACTCTACTGATGGTGCCCTTATCTCTCCTTCCACATGCGGTGAGCTGAGGGAAATGTCTCCTTTGGGGACAGACATTGCAAAATCACCACTCTTAGACTTTCCACCAAACCTTGGTAGAGAGAAACTTGGGAATTTGAGGGAAACATCAGGCAGATCAAAGCTGCCCCCTGAAGAAGGCCTGCCTCCCTGGGCTTTAAGAACACCGCTGATAGTAGGAGGTTTGAGGGATGCACCTGGAGCTTCTACACCACCTGTCGCAATGTCTGTACACTTTACTTTCACCTTGGCTGGATTGATTTCTCCTATGAGACCAGACATCTTTAAATCTCCTGATGCTTCGGGCCCAGAGGTGTCCACTCTGAGGCTTTTGTCTTTATGACCAGAGGGAAGGCTAAGGTCAAGATCAAATTTGGGGAGATTTATGTCAAGAGTTGGCATATGGAGCCCAACACCAGATAAGTCCACCTTTGGCAATTCATACTTTCGCCTTCCAGACGGTCCTTCAAAGCTGATATCTCCCTCTAATTTTCCAACAGGAACTGAAAGATCAACATCTGGTGTTGAGATCTCTCCTCCCTTAATCTTTGGTCCTTCAACTTTGACATTGCCCTCTGGCAGGTTCATCTTTGGAAGTGACACGTCAAATGTAGGTGTTTTGAATATTCCTCCTTTTACCTCAGGACCCTCAATACTGATGCCAGCCTTTCCTTTGGGAACTGACAGGTCAATATCTGGCATGTTGATATTTCCTTCCTTAAATTCAGGGCCTTTAATATGAATCACTGGTCCCTTAGCTTTCATTTTTGGAAGAGAGAAATCAACAGAGGGCATATGGAACTTGCCTCCTTTTCCAGCATGTCCTTCAATTTCCATTTCTCCTCTTGCTTTTCCTTTGGGCAGTGAAATATCAATGTCTGGCATCTCAATCCTCCCCCCCTTGATTTCCGGGCCTTTAAGCTTGACATCACCCTTTGGGAGACTAACTGTTGGCATTGAGACATCAAATGTTGGCATTTTAAATGTACCACCCTTCGCCACAGGACCCTCCACATCGATGTCTTCCTCAACTCTTCCCTTGGGGAGTGAAACGTCACCTTTAAAGTCAGGTCCTTCAATATCAACATCAACTCCCTTTACCTTCATTTTAGGAAGAGACATGTTAACCGAGGGCATATGCAACTTGCCTCCTTTACCCACATGTCCCTCTCTGTCAACATCTCCCTTTACCTTTCCTTTTGGGAGTGAGATATCAACCTTTGGCATTTCCAGATTGCCCTCTGGCAGGTTCATCTTTGGAAGTGAAATGTCAAATTTGGGCATTTTGAATTTTCCTCCTTTTCCCTCAGGATCCTCAATATTGAGATCTACATCAGCCTTTCCCTTTGGGATCGACAGGTTAATGTCTGGCATGTCGATTTTTCCTCCCTTCTGTTCAGGACCTTCCATGTTGACCTCTGGCCCCTTAGCTTTCATTTTGGGAAGAGAGATATCAAAAGAGGGCAAATGGAACTTGCCTGCTTTCCCAGCATGTCCTGACATTTCTCCTCCTGCTTTTACTTTGGGAAGTGAAATATCAATGTCTGGCATCGCAATCTTCTCTCCTTTGGTATCTGGGCCTTTAAGTTTGACATCACCGTCTGGGAAATTCATTTTTGGGAAAGACATATCAAATGTTGGCATTTTAAATCTACTCCCTTTTACCTCAGGACCCTCCACATCAAGGTCCCCCCCAAGGTTTCCTTTAGGGAGTGAAATGTCCACAGTTGGCAAGTTAAACTTTGATCCTTTAACATCAGGACCTTCAAGGCTGATATCTACCTCTGGAGACTTCATCTTAGGGAGTGACATGTCACCTTTGATTTCAGGACCTTGCATATTAAGATCAGGTCCTTTTGCTTTGATTTTAGGAAGAGAGATATGGAGTGAGGGCATGTGAAACTTGCCTCCTTTACCACCATGCCCATCAATGTCTATATCCACATCTGCTTTTCCTTTTGGAAGTGAAAGGTCAACAGTTGGCATATACATTTTTCCTTTCAAGTCAGTTCCTTCTACATTGGCATCAAGATTTGGTAGACTCGCTTTTGGTAGAAAAACGTCAAATTTTGGCATTTTGAATTTCCCTCCTTTCAACTGAGGGCCTTCAACATTTATCTCCCCCTCAACCCTTCCTCTGGCAGGTAAAATGTCAACAGTTGGGATGTTGACCTTTCCTCCTTTAACATCAGGACCCTCAAGGCTGATATCTACATTGGGAGATTTTATTTTGGGTAGAGAAACATCAAGTGAAGGCATGTTTAGCTTTCCACCTTTAACCTCAGGACCTTCAATATTTAACTCTGGTCCCTTAGCTTTCATTTTGGGAAGAGAGATATCAACAGAGGGCATATGGAACTTGCCTCCTTTTGCACTATGTCCTTCGATTTCAATGTGTCCTCCTGCCATTCCTTTAGGCAGTGAAATATCAATGTCTGGCATCTCAATCCTCCCCCCCTTGATTTCCGGGCCTTTAAGCTTGACATCACCCTTTGGGAGACTAACTGTTGGCATTGAGACATCAAATGTTGGCATTTTAAATGCATCACCCTTTGCCTCAGGACCCTCCACATCGATGTCTCCCTCAACTCTTCCCTTGGGGAGTGAAACTTTACCTATAATGTCAGGTCCTTCAATATCAACATCAACTCCCTTTACCTTCATTTTAGGAAGAGACATGTTAACCGAGGGCATATGCAACTTGCCTCCTTTACCCACATGTCCCTCTCTGTCAACATCTCCCTTTACCTTTCCTTTTGGGAGTGAGATATCAACCTTTGGCATTTCCAGATTGCCCTCTAGCAGGTTCATCTTTGGAAGTGAAACGTCAAATTTGGGCATTTTGAATTTTCCTCCTTTTCCCTCAGGACCCTCAATATTGAGATCTACATCAGCCTTTCCCTTTGGGATCGACAGGTTAATGTCTGGCATGTCGATTTTNATCAAAAGTTGAACAATGCTCAACTTTTGATGCTCACGATGCTTGCAAAGCCATGCTCCGCTCCCCACAATGCAGTTCGGCGAAGATTAAAAATCGTCTACGTCACCCCATTCAAGTGAATGGGCGAAGCTTTGAAAGATTTTTTTCATGCCTGTGTGTGGACGGGCCGTTAGCTCGCTAGCAGCTGTTGTTACTTCTGGTGATGGCAAAGCAGACGTGTACGATATATTACTTCACGGTCGAAATTCACACAGTAAGCAAGTATTATGTGTACAACATGGAAGTGTACTAAGGAAAGTATTCAATTCAGAAACAGCATGAGAGGGGAGAACATGTTATGCTAATGTGTGAGCAAGCTTTCATTCAAAGTATACGACATGCAGTGCACTAAGGCAGTGGTTCTCAACTGGTGGGTTGCGACCCAAAAGTGGGGCGCGGACCCGTTTCGAGTGGGTCGCAGATGTGTGAGTGAAGAAGAACAAAAAAGTGATAATTATTGCTTTTTTTAAAATCAGAATCAAGATTGTTGCCTGGCTAGCAGCAGAATCAGCCTGTTTGCAACAGGGCTGCAAAAGAGGGGTATGAGGCATGGCTACAATGGGTGATCTGTTTGGTATTTTAAGCAAAAAACTTCACAGACATGTTTTTATAGATATGGCCCTACAATATATTTTTCCAATATAC